TCAGCATAAGACCGGCAGAGGTGGGGGACCTGCTTAATACTTAAGTGCTCACCGCTGCTTACAGGCTGGGGCAAGTATAGCCCAGGGCGGGAGGGGCCTGCAGGCATGTTGCCTGGGAAAATGTTAACATGTTCCCACGATGAGAAGTTTTGGCCCATGTTCCGGACGAATGTGATGTTCTCTGTACTTTTTTACAGCAGAGCGTAAGAAGGTCAGGCAGGCCGTTTCTCATGGTCCAAACCCCCATGGAACATTTTACTTTGATCAAGATCTGTGAAGTGGGGGGTTGGGGGGAGCAGGGATGGTGGTGTTGGGGGTGGTTTACAAAGTGGTGCAGTTGGACTAACAGTCCATAGTGCAGGGGCAGCTGCCTGTCCAGCCAGCTTATGTCTGCCTAGAGGGCATGTGGACCCTTGGGGCTGTGTCTGTGCTGACTGGCTAATGCCATGACAAGAAGCCTGAGAGAGCCAGCCTGGCCAATGCCATGCCAGCAGGCTGGCAGGGTTGCAGCAGCCTTTACAGAAGAGCCAGAAAGGGTGTGTGCATGAACCGCACTGTGAACGCATGCATGCGTGTCCTGCAGACAGGCATCTGTTCTGTTAGGACAATGACACAAATACTTCAAATGTCATCTCACAAGGAGCCGTATCATCCCTTACCCTCATCCCCCAGGGCAGTTAGGAAGGGGAGGTGACCCATTTCCAAAGTGGGTACCTTTGCCTGTGAGAGATGTAGACTTTTTAAACATCGTTTTTTATTTTCAAGAATTTTTTAAAAAATTCAACCAGGAATGATTGCTAGAAATATTACATAGGCAGATTGCTAGTGGCCTGGGTGCATTTTTCAAATGTTTTGTCAACAAAGCTGCAGGGTCATGCTACTTCTGTGTATAGATGGGAGCCCAAACCAGGATCTTTGCTTGGAGGAGAACGTCCAGAGAAGTCCCTCTTAGCTGTGTCCCTCCGCAAGATGAGTGGGCAGCCTGGCCCAGCAAGCTTGGACAAAATGAAAACTCCAAGCTCCCAGGAGACAGGTGGTTCTGTGTGCATTCCCCCAGGGCAGCTTCCTCTGGATTTGTTCTTAGGCTTTTACAGGCGAGGGCCCCTGCAAAGAAAGGTGATCCAGGGAGAAGACGTGGTGGTGGGGCTCTAGCTGGCCCCATAGATGAGCCTAAAAGACGAGATTAGAGTAGCTCGGTGTGCATCCACGACCTCAGTGGGGATCTGAACCATCAAGAACACCATCCTATTTGTGGGCAAGAATGCCTGTCTCCATTTGGGATCAGTGGGTCGGCAGCAACACCCTATGGAAGCAGCAGAAGCAGTGGAAGCAAACAACTTCAGCTGGTTAACTCACCCAGGGAATGGAGAGGTTTGATCTTTCCCCAGGAGAAGCAGGACTGAGCCACCTCTAGCGATTCTTGGGACAACTCAAAGGGACTAGGGTGTTCCCAGAAGAGACACTGGGCCTGCTACTAATCTGGAAAGAAGGCCAAGAGTCAATTTAAATGAAATAGAAAATGCATTATCACCCTGACCTCAAAAAGCAGGTCCTCCGCTCACACAGAGGTAGGAAACATGATCAGATTCCCTTCATACCTGAGGCTGTCCTTTGGAGGACAGGTCACAGGCCAAGTTACAAAACTCAGCCTGCAGCAAACCCTGATGGTGAATCCAGAGACGTTTTAGGTGGACAGTGTCACTGGCTTCAAATATCTAGACAGTCGTCAGAAGCAGGCCCAAAGAAAGACATTCCAGGAGGTGTCAGTATTTCTGATCATTATGGAGGATAGCTTCCCTTCCACTGCGTGCATTCCATGGTGCAAGCAGACCCCAGGCCAGATGAGGCTGGTCCGTGAATTGGCTGGGCCACAGCTCCCTGCTACTGCCTCCTGGCTCCAGTCCAATTCCTTGCTGGGTTTTCAGGTTGGTGCTCCACCTACAAACGGAACTAATCTGGGGACGTCACAAAGGGCCTCTGGGCTCCTGCCCCATGTGTTCCTTGCAGATTCTTTCGAGGTAGATAGCCCCTCATCCTGGATGTGAGGTCCTTCCCCTACTCTTTTTGCCCTGCCCCCAGCCACACCCCACCCCAGGGCAGGATTACTTCCTGGGAAGGGAACCCAGGAGAAGGCAGAGTTCAAGTTCTTCTCTTCATTGGCTCCTGGGAATGTATGACTGGGTCCATGAAGACAGCTTCTGCTGGGAGGATGCTGAGCACTCCACCTAGAATAGCCAATCAGCACCTTCTTCTTCTATCTTTTTTTCTAAGTCATCATTTATTGATTTTAGAGCACCCATCACGTGAATGAGGTGCTTTACAATACAGTAAACATCACAACAGAACTCACGTAGTTAAATACAATCAACAAATTACAGAACTAAAAAAAAAACTGGAATGAAGCGACATTAATGTCAGATTTCAAAGATGCTGAGAAGTGGCAGTACAAAAAAGGTAATTCCACCAACTGGAGACCAGAAGGGCAAAGATACACAAGCACCACAGCCCAAAGTGGGCAGATTTTTCTAGAGGGTGAGTGAGCATATAAAATTAAATTTCACAACCGAGAATGAAGGCCACTAAAGATATGATGACACCCACATGATCACAGTACTAGTGGAATAACCTCACAAACATTACCTTATAATGACAAGGATTTTAAACTCAAGAGGCCAAAAAGCCACCAAGATCATCTGTCCCATACGAGCACAGACTGAAATCAATGTGCCTCTACAAGAATTTGGAATAAATGTAGGAAATGGCCAACAGTTCTACAATCCGTAAGATCTAGGGAGATGTTGGCACAAGTTTTGGGGGAAAATCCTTTTCCTAAAGCAGAGAAAAATCACTTCACACTGATGATGAGGTGCTGGTGGAGCAAAAGCCACCTGGTTCAGTGTCATCTGAGTGTGGGTTTCATATCAAACTAGAGGCATTTAAATTTACATTATCAGATGAACACTGAGAAAGGCGCAGGTGACGTCTCTGACAGAGGAAGGGAAGTTGTAACATCTACGTGGGCCTGTGTTTCAGTGTGGCACAGTCAGGGCACCAGGTGGAAATGCACGTGAAGAGAGACGCACTCATTCCTGGCTCTCACTTCCACTCCCCTAGAGCTAGCCCTAAAAAAAAAAACCACATGGTTTTATCAAAGGAACTGCATTAAAGTGGCACTTAAAGTTCAAAAATAGTTGTCCCAGAGTTACTAGGTCATTTGCTGCTTGCTGAAGAGTCAAATCCCAAGTTTCACCTTAATAGATTGCTAGCAGAATTACAGCAACAGGAGAGCAACATTCGAACTCCATTTTGCCACAAGCAACCACCATGTGAACAATTTCTGACTTAAGAGTAAAAAGGGAGGGATCCCATCTCTTTAAAAAAATGTTTTTTAATTAGCCAGGCATGGTAGCACATACCTGTAGTCCTAGCTACTCAGGAGGCTGAGGCAGGAGGATCACTTGAGCCCAGCAGGTCAAAACTGTAGTTAGCTATGATTGTTCTTGCTGCACTCCAGCCTGAGTGACAGAGAGACCCAGTTTAAAAAAAAAAAAAAAAGTAAAAGGGATTGCATTCCAAGTCCCGTGGGGGTATGCAGTGCTGATATTTTGGGGCAACAATTTTTACAGTCTTTGAAAAACAGACCAAGCCATGAAGTTCTTAAAGAAAACTGGGTTCCAATGAATCAAACAATTTCCAGTCACAACACATTTACAAGTTTTATAAGGTTTGTATAATGTTTACGGGTTTTTACAATGCTTCAGAGCAGAGAACAGACAGGGATTTAGAAAAAAAATCACTCTCTACTGTGACTACATCCTCAACCATTTTATTTCTACTTAAAAAAGGACATACAGCGTTTGTAGAGGTCTGAGCTATTGGCAGTTCTTTCACTCTTCTGCCAAAACATTTCCCCAAACCCCACAGAGCAGAGATGCACGAATTCTTACTGATTCTCACAGACACATGCCCCATCTGCTACTGTCTCAAGTTCTGACCCCCATTAGAAGCTGAAGACTACTTCCCACACACAACCTCACAACAAACATAAAGGAGCCCAGGGCCTGCCTTTAACACTGCACATGTTCATTTTACCATTCGCTGAAGCTGTTTTAGAAAACTGTGTGATATGAAGTATAGTTCAGCTCAAACATTAATCAAATCCAAGTGTGCTATGGTTAGTGACAGGATCTATACGTCAAATAGCAAAGCATTTACCCCGTAATGCTTTTAGCTTCACAGAAGAATCTAGATAGAACCAAATACATATACTGCCATGGCCATGTGATTTTCAAGTATTAAGTTTGTTTGCATAAGGAATCAACCTAAGAGTTTTCTAAACCACTTCTCTGGCATTCAGTATTATAGCCTTCATTCAATACAATAAAAGCCAACAACTTGAAAGTTATTGGAAAAAAATTACATTTTGGAAGAACTCACTGCATAAGGTGACAGAATTCCAAAATCAAATTACATGAAAATATACCTCGCAATTTCTTTGTACAATGGGTGAGAAAAATCTGCAGTAGAGAAGAATAGAGGCAAAGGAAGAGGAAGGCCTAAAGAGAAAGGTAGGAGAGTAAATAGCATTTGGAACAGCAAACCCAGAGGTGAGCTAGAAAGCCTGTGGCTGTGCATGCTTCATTTATCCAACCTTAATACTAGGCAACTGAAGGAGGGAAAGTCAGATTTGCTATTGTTTGGGGAGATTTCCAGTAAGCTGAATTAAGAACCATCTGTTTTTAGTTCTCGGGGGTAATGACTGGGATCAAGAGCTCGTAACAGCCGATAAATGTCATTGCTATACCCAGACCAAGAGGTGGGTGCAACCAGAGTACAAAAAGGACAAAGCACCTAGTGATGGCTCCTTCAAAGTCATCATTAAAAATCAAGTAATTGCTCATTAAGTATTTCAGTATTTGAACTAAATGATTTGAGAACATTCTGGTAGACAGAGAGATAAAAGCAAAGGGGAGTGTGTCAAAACAAAGAAGATACAAAAGTTTAGTAATTGAAGAGAGTTTAATGAAGCCTCAATGGTTTAAGGGAAATTAAATGGAAACTTTTAATCCTAATTGCTTTTCATCCGGCATGCTTAAAGGAGTCCTTTTAAACTGATAAGAAACAATGAATAGGAAAGAAAACCTGCTAAAATCTTGTAGAATGTACACGATTCTTACTCTACTACAAGAAAGCATTATTTGGTACAAGGTGTATCTATGGATGTGCATGAACAGTGTATATATTATCCGGATCATGTTGTGCTATGTACAGGTCTTTACAATTCTTCCTGAAGGTTAAAACAGTTCATTAGAATTCAAAATGCGTAATCATCTGAGTTGGCACTTGTTCAGCTCTTGTCAGCACTGGTAACTGGCATGTTTTATTGCAGCCCAGCTCCAGCCAGTGTTTGCCAACTTGTACAACAGAAGTCCAGCAATAGGTGGGCGGAGTGCAGGAAAAACAGTGCCATGTTTCTCAGTTGGAGACCCTGAAATAAGTGAAGTTACTAGCTGCTAAATAAATGTCACTCAAAAGCAGTCTCTTGGCTTTTTCTGACACAGAGGACAGTTTTTCTTTTAAATTCTCCATTTCTATCTTCCCTCCATTCTCTCGCAGCATCAACATTAGCAGGTGAGTCTCCATTAGGGTCTGCCAGCATAGAAATGACACTAATCGTGATGGTTTCCACAGTGTGGATAGGGAGCCAGCGTTCTTCTGGCTTTTCATAACCATGCTTATCTTCCCCAGGCTCATGAAGAATAGAAATGCACACATCACCATTTTTAGCAACATTTGGATGCCAGATTTCTGTAATGAATTTCATTTTAGGAGGCCGGAGGGGATAATCTTTTGGGAAAGTGAGATGAGCCTTAAAAACACCACCTTCATAAAGTGTATCTGAAGGGCCAATAAGGGACTTCCCATCGGTAGAGATCATTGTCATCTATTAAATCTGCAGAAAAGCCTTCCACTGGATTTTTGCTGAGTTCTGCCAGCTGTCTTCACAGTAGCAGTGCCGACTGCAGCTCTGTCATCCTCCCACCAAGGGCCCGGGCTGGCGCCGGGGCTTCCGAAGGGCTGGGGACAGGATCTGGGGGCTCTGGAGCGGGGTGTGCTGAGGAGCCCGGGGTGCGAGTCCGCTCGCTTCAGCTCCAGCACCTTCTTCTTAACCATCACAACCAAAAGCTCTTTTTAATGAGGTCCTAATTAATTTTCATTTATTAATGAAGCTACTTGAAAGCAGGAGAAATATCAACAAAAAGCATTGGTGTGTTTCTACCTGGGACCGCCTTTTCGAGAGCCTCAGAATAACAACTCATGGCCGGGCTTCCTTAAGAAACTACTGCTATGAAATCAGAGGGAATTCTGACCTCACTTTGGATGAGTGTACTGAGTAAACTGAAATTTCTTTCTTGTATGAAGAGTGAAGTTATGGGTCTGAGCACAGCAATCTCTTCTAGGTGCCAGAAATGTCTTTTTCAAAGGGGTTGGTGTTAAAAGCGTTTTGGCTGTGTCTCTGTGACCTGGCCAGAGTCACCCCGGTTCTCTAGGTCTCAGTGTTCTCTTCTGTAAAGACAAGGCTTGGAGCCCTTCCCGTGGGATGGGGGAAGGGAACACATGGAGAGGGCAGTGAGCGTCTCGTGGAGTCTGATTCTAGGGGAGCAAAGTTTCTTCCGGTTGCCTCCTGGGTCGGGGCGGCTTGCCCTGTGATGGGGTGGCTGGCCCTCAATGTGATGATGGTGACACCTCTTGGCCAGGACTGGGGTGGGTTGAGTTTAGCTCCCACGGAAAGTTGTTCAGAGGCTGAGCTGGGTCTCAAGAGTGTGGCCTGACCACAAAGAGTAGGCTGTGTCTGCAGCTGCTGCACCCTGACTGGGGCTAGGCCTTCCTCCTGGGACCTGTACTTGGCTGGGGACCATGGCAGCAGCACCCGCGGCTCCCCTGCCTCTCCCCAGCACCTCCTGGCACAAGGGCTGGGACCCTGGCACTGCTAGCTAGGTCCATTGGACCGAAGGAGGGTCTAGCTTTGACTCCTGGACTTTTTTTTTTTAAGATGTAGAAAACATGTTTAAGAAATAAAAACCTTTCTCTGCCCCGGTTATACTGACCAGCAAAAAATTCTTCCTGCCCCATGATATGCTTTGAGTCAAACCTCTCTGAACTCACAGCAGTATGGCCTAAGCTTTGACCTTTTTCATTGACACTTGAATTTAAATCACAGAGATAGTATATGCTTATTGTGTTCAAACAACGCAGAAGAATATAGAGAATCTGGAAGGAAGTTCTGCTGTCACCTCCACCCCTCTCCTCCCCACTCTCCTCCCTTCTGTTTCTGGCCAGCTCATCAGGAGACATTGCTTTGAGAGGCCACGGTGTGCGGTCTGGGTTGGAGGGCTGAGCCAATGACAGGAGGAGCATCACCTCAGAGACTCAGCAGCAGGCAAAGCAGGATAACTGCAGAAGAGACGGGTTTGTGGTGACCTCCCTGGCTGGGGCAGCAGGCACCAGCCAGGACCGGGCCTCTGCTGTCCGCACGTTGACAGTGCTGCCCAGCTGTCCTTCAGCTCCTGTGGGCTTTCTCTTTTGGGTCTCAAAGGGAAGAAGGCATCCTCAGCTCAGTCATGGCAAAGCCCATGACTGCACATGTGGAAACCTCAGTGGATCAGTCTCGGGAGGGAAGCTGCATGACCCTGTGGCTGGTGGCATTCAGCAGGGGTCACTTTAGCAGGAAGGAGCAGGGGGGAAACATAAGCCGAAGGGTGGGGACATGTGAGCCATCAGGTAGGTGGCTGCTGTCAGCGAGTCCATTCCAGGGTCTCCTAGGGGGCTGCCAGCGCTTTGTGCTGTGGGGGGATCACTCAGAGGTGTCCCATCTCAGGTCTCTCTTGTCCCCTCCCCACCCCTGCCTGAGTTGAATGTGGACTTGCAGAGCTGTGGTGTACGGGATATACTGCATCAGGGAGCGGGTGTCACTCCCTTGCCTCTGGACCGACCCAGCTGGGCTGCCCTGGTCTGCAGCGTCCATTTAACTTCTTGAGGGAGCACTGACAGTGTGCCACGCTCTCTTCTGAGTGCTCGGAATACAGGTTATTGAATCAGACATGGGCCTTGCCCCCTCGAGATGCTGACAGCCATCTAGTGGTGCTGATGCTAGCCAGGTAGGCTATCACCTTCACTCACACAGCGGAAGGCAGCACAGCCTCTGCAAGGCGTGTGGAGCGTGCACTTTGTTTAGTGATGGGCTCCTAGCAAAACAGAGTCCTTTATGCCGTTGTCCCCCACTCCCCCAACCTTTCACCATGCCCTCCCTATCCCTGGGCTTTTTGGCTTCCTGGTGATTCAGGAGATCCTCATTGGTTGATTTTGAGCACAGGTAGCTTTTCCCCTCTGAATGGCCCTTCGAAAGGTAATCCCGACAGACCCCCTCCCCAGGCCCTTACAAGAGCCATGGCTCTAATATACAATCAAATGCCAATTACCCATTGGCAGAACAACTGTCTGGGGAATTAGTTTTTGTTGTTGTGTTGTTTCGACTGACTTCTCAGATCCTTTCTCTCCAACGTGGTTGGGAGTTATCAGAGAAGTGAAACTCATCTTACAAGTGCCGATACTGACGGCAAGAAAGAGAGAAGCAGAATAGTGAAGTGGAAAGAGTTGGAGCTAGGAGCCCGAGGACTTGTCCCCTAGTCTTGATTCTGACGTGAGCTGGCTCTCAGGCTTTTGTCGTGGGTATCATTCCCATTGCCTGTGTGCCTAAGGTTGTAAACCAGCCTGTATTATTTGTGGGAGCACGGGGTGTATTTTAAGTATAAGCAATGCATGGGAGCTCTAAGGAACTTAGTGACTGCTCTCAAGGAGGCAAGGAATAGGATACAGGAAGGGACGGCAGCTCTTTGGATCTAATTCTGCTGCATGAGAGGAGCAGTTTGTATCACGGAGTGGGGTAACTTGTAGCTGGAAGGAGCGAGGAGAAAATGTAAGCTGAGGAGTAGATTGTTTAAATGGATGAATTCTTGGACTGTGCGCTCAGCTTTAGCAGGGCTTCACCTGTGGGACTCCTGTGAGGCCTGGCTTGTGGATAGGTCCTGTAGACATTTGTGATTTGCTTATACAAGGTCACCCAGAGATACCTTAGGTTTAGAGGCAATATTTTGAATTCCCAAAATATAAGCGTAGTGTATATTTAAATTTAAACTTCAAAACCTCTGTGAGTCCTAGATATTGATTAATCCTCCCACCTCAGGCTCTCAAGTAGCTGGAACTACGCAAGTGGTGTGCGACACCATGCCTGGCTAATTTTTTTAAAAATTTTTTGTAAAGATAGGGTTTTGCTCTGTTGCCCAAGCTGGTCTTGAGCTCCTCGCCTCAAGCAATCCTCCTTAGTCTCCCAAAGTGCTGCATTGCTCCTAGAGAGTCCCAAATTTATGTATCTGTGTGAGGGGTTTCTTAGTTCCAACAACCCGTAGGCAAGGCCAAAGGTTTCTGTCACTTTTTCCTGTGCGGGCATTCAGAGCCACGCTTCTTAAAGCAGCCCCATCCTACCACGCCCTTCTACCTTCCAGGTGGCTCCAGCAGCCACTTAGGCTTCATTCTGCAGAGGTCTGTCCCCTTGGCATCCTGACTCCTGAGGGTTTCCATTACCCGCCTGTGAGCTCAGCTGTGCATGAAAATTATGTTTTATAAGTTGTACCCAACATTTCCCAGGCATTTGGTTGCAGAAATTCAGGTTATCTTGTCTACCCTGGTGCCTGAAGAGAAGCCTCATGGACATCAGCGGCATCTGACTTTTTACAAAGGAATCTGAGCCAGGAGAGTAAAATAGTAGGATTTGCCGGAGCTACACACACAGTCTGTGGACACTCAAGTCTCCAGATTGCTCAGTTTGTGGAAATAGTTTCTAATAAACCGAAGGATCCCACTTTGTATTTATTTTTGTTTGTTTGTTTCTCATCCTTTGTTTCTCGTTGAGAATAGCTTCAAATGTCTGAGCAAGTTTCCATCATGCATCGGGGAAGGTAGCATTCTTTGGGGTGAGAACTTTTCGGCAGTCAGGACAAGGAGCTTAGCTTGGTTGATCCTGGTCATTGCAAGTGACAGACAAAGCCCCTTGGACTTTCCCCCGTCATCTCAGGCTGGATGCTGGTGAGCTTATTCAGCACTGAGCACAGGAAGTCCTCTTTCATTGACCAACCAGCTCTCTTGGCACATGGGCCATCTGTCCATTAATATGGGGTGTCACCACTTATGGCGATGATTAAAAACCCTCATCCTACTCACAGCCTTAACATCTATTGTATCTTGGTGGCCAAGTAGGAATAAGCAGCAAAATTAATTTGATTGCTCCTTCTTTCTTTATTCTGGTCCTCCCTGTCTTCACTTTATTCATGTAAGTAAAGCAAGGAAAAAAAATGGCAGCCAAGGAATTTGAGAGTAAGGTAGATTCAGAAACAGCATCTTTGGAACAGCTACCATCTCCCAGGTATGCTGTGCGGATATACCGCAGGCAGTTTTTTCTTAAAAGGGTGGGACACACCGTTTAATGTCAAATTATTGAAAGGAAGATCAAACCCTGCAGAGTTCAGATTTCCCTTGATAGTGGCTGTTTGACTCTGACATGCCTAAAATTAACGTACGTCACATTAAAATTTACGTATTATACATATTCATGTAAGTTTAAGAAAGGATATCATGAAGCAAGGAAATTGAAACACACTTCAGCAATAGAAGTTAAAGAAACATGCATGAGGTCACCTCTATAAGATTCTGCAAAAGCTCTAGGCAGTTCACTGCTGCGTAAGCAAGTTAGAAGCTGGGGGTTCAGCTTCACTTGAAAATCGTGGAGTTGTTGTCCGTTCCTCTTCTCAACCCTGTACCCTTATCGCCCACCTTGACTCTTACTGTTCCCCTTTGTTTAGTTTCTGACACTGGCTTCTCAGCTTCAGCCATTCTCAACAGAGGGAACAGCATGAGAAAAGCCAGTTGAGCTTCCCCATGGGGTTACATCTCCTTCACCTCCTAGGAGACATCCTCCCTATTTTAATGTAGCTGC